GCCGATTATAGGTCCACATGCCTTTCAAAATACATTCGACCACACCAAAAGCTTACTACGTCCGTTTGCAAAACATAAACCGTAAGTCTCACACATCACATTAACGTAAGTAGAGAGGTACCACCAAACTGACGTAAAGATCCATTGCATACTGTTTGCGGAATACGTCAACCAAATCATCCGTCAGGCCTGCCATAGTTGGATCTTCATTACCCGTAGCTAACATTTCCATGAATTTCACTGCCACCGGTCCGCAATCACCGCTCCGTGCATTAACATACAAACCACCCAACCTCTCCACTGTAAATGGCGTCTTCTGATTCTCTCCAACAGCTTCAGCAGGGCATACTTTCTTAGCAATGTAAGGCAGCATAGTTGTCAAAGGCTCCATCAGCTCATTAACTTCTTCCATAGTTGTCAGTCTTGGGTTCGGATCCAACACCACGATCTTCCAATCATTCAAGCTAATACGCAAGCCGACCCAGTGTTCCCCTCTCCAAATCATGGGTGCGTACAGCGTCTCCACATCCAGACCCCACGTCTGTCCTGGCTTTGTTAGGTACATAGTGATTTTGTCATCTCCTGCCACACGTCCCTTTTCCCTAGCCGCCTTAAAAGGGCGTTCCTTCCTTTGCACCTGTGATGTGAACCACGGTGTTAAAAACAACCCTCCATTCAGGTGAACTGTTGGACCATGGCACCGCTCAATGAAATCCATCAACACAGCTATATGCTGTCCATAAGAAAAAACAAACATTAAATATGAATATGATACGACGAATAAAACAGCTATGGTACAATGTCACCATACCGTGCTTGACACCCATTTCTGTGGTGTTGCTAACTCCAAAAAGAACTGATTGTCGAGATTCTGCCCTCCGGCATTGAAGTGAATCCTACCAAAAAAAAACACCCATTTTAAAGTTTAGAAGCCATCATCAACAAAATAACTCATATTATTTGACAACTCACGCTTTCTTATTAGCCTGCAACACTTTCTTAAAGAAAGGATAATCCGGATCCTCAATCATCGGCACAGTATCAGAAACATTGTACTGGTTCCTAGCCAACAACAACGCCGCCAACTCCTCCTCTTCTGGCACAGGCTGATGTTTCGCCGACTTCAATATAGGTGAATCACTAAGCTCCATTACAGGTGCCTTTACGTTGTCCACCTCTTCTTCCTCAGTAAGTTCGTCACCACTACCACTATCCTCATCCTCAGCCACAGTAGCCTGCAGTTGTCAATTAACCAAACATTAACAAGTCAACATGTACATGTGTCAACGCTATTAACAGACTTAACCAACCAAATCAATTACCTCCAACCGTTTGTCCGATACACCACACTCATCACCTCCTACCACTTCCCCGATCTCTAACTGCAGGATCATAAAAGAAAATTATTAAGTTACTTACCACTTCCCCGTTGCTATAATATAAGTTCACTCATATAAGAAAATTATTAAGTTACTTACCACAGCTTTCTTTTCCTCCGACGATGTAACCTTCTCCACATTATCCTTGCATACATCATCGGATTCACCTCCCCCAACCTGAATGTTACATCCTAATATGTTAGTCACCCACTATCCTACAATTTTACTCCCATTCCTTTGCTTTAAACACATCACTCACCAGTTCATTGATGTTTACCAAAGTACCCTCTACTTTCTGTTTCGCCTCCTCAACTTTGTTTTCTGTCTCGCCTGGTCCACTTTTTCCCCCACCCTCGGCCTGCAATTACCATAATTGAACAAATTATAAATCTGCTTCAACCCATCCTATTGACTGTACACGTGTACTCATGGAAAACATTTTAAATTAACCCAAAACTAATACGCTATATTCCGCGTACATGTGTACACAGACCATAGTGTAGAAAAACAACACCAAAAATTAACACTCACCACATCTTTCTCAGTCTCTTCACATTGGGGTGAACTTGTCTGTTGTTGCAAACCGTTTACGTTTCCATCAATCTCGTCCTCTGTATCATCAGTAACAACCCTATTGATTGCTTCTATCCCAACATCCACCTCAACAACCTGAAGAATTAAACACCCAAAAATAATTCTCAACGCACAGGAGTGCTGACTTCAAAACACCATTAATCTATGATCGAATTTTACCTCAATCCTGTTTCCTTCTCCCACGTCGCCAATTTCAGCTATCAACTCTCCAACCAGCTTCTCCAGGCTCGTGGATTCCTGAAACCAACAGCAAAAGACCACAAAAAAACATGAGTTACGCCAAAGGAGAAATACAAAATCCATTCAAATAGACAAAGAAAAAAAAAACCTCTCGCCCTAGTCCCTCATCTGAATCCTTTGTACCAGTCATTGACACATCATTCAAGACATCATCACCTTGATTCTCAATTCCACCTTCTCCTTCACCCACACTTGGAAACAAGACAGCTGTCCCATCCCCATCTGCATGAACAACAGTGTCATTTGCTTTCCTGACGTTCCTTTTTTTAAGCTTCCGTCTTTTCATTCCGCTTCTCGATGCCAAAATCTGTTTCAGCTTATCTATCTTCTTCGCTTGTTTCTCAGTCACAACTTTAAGCTTTACAACCTCTTCGCATACTTCCTCCAAACGTCTCTCAATTGCTGCTTGTTTCTCCCTATCTCCAATAACCAGACGTTCATAGTACTCGCTCATCCTACGCTGTTTAAGCACAGGTTCACCATCACTTTCATCTTCATCCTTCAATTGCCTTTTGTTTTTTTTTCCCGCAGCCTCGTACACGAACAGCGGTCCACCAGCATCACCGCCCCCCCAATCAGCCTTCGTGAAACAATAACCTTCTTCCAACAAACGTTTCATGTTCTCCACTTTCTTGTCATATTTCTCGTCAAAAACTCCCCATCTCTCCACCCGTTCCCCAGTGATCTCCATCGTTGGTTGTACCACAAGCTGCATCACCATAAAAGTAAAAAATGTATCATATAACCGTTGTTCAAAGAGTGTCCACGTGAACATGTAATAAAAAGTGTCCACATGGTCAACGAACGCATAGTGTCCACATGGACAAACAAACAACATACTAAAGAACTTCGGGAAGGATTTCGTAATTGACGTAAGTTAAAAATCAGTGTCCACACAAACACATGCATTCAAGCTGAACCGTTTTAACTAGCTGTCTAAAAAACATTGTCCACATCTAACTCAATATCGAATACACTATAATACTGTCCACATCTACAATTACATATCCAAGATGTCCACGCGATTTCACATAATGACAACCAAAACCTCTAAAGCATGACTGTCAATTATATAGCTTAAACATGTACAAAGAACAGCTTACCCCAGGGTTGTTTTCTGCTTTGTAGACATCCATCACAGTAAGCCCTGCATGTTGTGGCAGCCCTTTACCCGGGTATTCCAACAACGTTGTCTTCTGATCACCACCAACCAGTTCAAGCAACTGTGGTATTGCTTGGAATGCCACTAATTGCAGTGCCAATGGAAAACCAAACAGCTTAACTGATTTCTGCCTCAACTTCTTGCATAACTCTCCATTTGGATCTTCACATTTGCCCATCTCCTTCGGCCCTGGTTTCAACGTGCTTAACGTCCACAGGAATGACTCTCTCCCCCAAGGAAAACTCAGGAAATCGCCCAAATCTTCCAACATCCTCACGTGTTTAATCCAAGGTCTTAGTTTCTGAGTTGATGCCACTAGTACCCCGTCTACTATAACAAGCAAACACAACCTAAACTTTAGCCAACCAGGCATATCTTCTTCTGTCTCCACCCTCACAAGCAGTTCCTCAATGGTAACATCCATGTTCTCACCAATAATCTCTCCCCAGTACTTGTAGTTCTCAGCCTTCGGTGGGAGCTCGAAATAAATGCTATATCCCTCTTCAAATTCCCCACATGGCAAACCAGTCACCTCTCCAAACTCAACCAAGGAGAAGCGAAAGGGTTTTCCACCGAACACAGGCCACATCTCAAACAACTTCTTCGTTACCACTTGTCTAGTCATTAGACTATGGACCACTTTCCCAGCAAACAACTGTCGTGCCGGCATCTTGAAAAGCGCTCCAAAACAAGAAGCCATCAACTCATCAAACTCTGGACTCCCAAGTAACGCGTCTCTTACTCTAAGCAGGAAATTCACCGACGAGTAGACGTTAACCCTCTCGCTAGGGTAACGGTCCGTAGCAAATAACCGTTCCGGCAACAACTCCGACTTCTCCTCCGTAATCGCATCCGTCAACACTGATACCAATGAAAAAAACAAACTTTAAAATACACAAAAAAACACAGACGACATTAAAACAAGGACAAAGCTTCTTACCATCGACGGGATCTTTCCCACGAGTGCTCCTCCTTCTAGCCATCGCTTTGACTCTCTCTCCACCGCACAATGAATCGGAAATCAACACTACAAACAAACCCCCAATGTAATCGTTACTCTCGAACTTCGGTAAACGTGCACGAGAAAAAGAGAGAAATGGGGAAGAAGATGGAAAGTCTTCTTTTTCATTCTAGTAACCGGTGCCTTCAATTAAAGGGGGGCCCAATTAAAATTTCGAAATTTGAAACCCAAACGAGAAATCAAAAACCCAACTAAAAGGAGGATCGCTTTTTAGGTTTGGTTGAGGGCAAGTTAAGTCTTTTGACTCAAAAACTACCCTACCCGTGGGAACTGTCTTTTCTTGATGAAAAAACACAATAACTGCCTTATAGTGACAAAAACTCTATGATGAATAGGGGTAACGTTGTCATTAAAAAAAATATGTCATTTGTAAAGAGGAAATTCTATCCGTGCAATATACATATTATGCTTGTATATGCACTGCAATTTTTCTTGTTGTTTTGTCAACAATTTATTTCATGTCATTTTGTATTGTATTTGATAATAAAATAATAACGTGTAGTGTACGGCTCTCCATGTGAGGCTGAGATTAATGAGTGCTTTTTTTTTTATATTGACCATTAGTAAAAGATAACAAAAAAAAGTCTATATAAATGTGGCGTCTCTCAACTCGAAGAATATCACCTACCTACAAAGTTAGAGAAATTAAGTGATATCTCTTGTACTGAAGAAATGTCAACAGATCTCAGAGCCACTACTCCGGGTTTTCGTGATATCCCATCTACCATCGTTCGAGCTACAGTCGTCCAGGCCTCCACCGTCTATAACGATACTCCCAAAACTATAGGTGATTCGCTCTTTTTTCTTTCTCTTAGAGTGTCCTTGCAAGCCGACCACGGATCTGTTAAAATTATATCAAATGATTTACTTGAGTTTGCAGAAAAGGCGGAGAAATTTATAGCGCAGGCAGCGAGCGACCGAGCGCAGCTGGTGGTCTTCCCTGAGGCGTTTATCGGTGGATATCCTCGTGGATATAGGTTTGGCATAGGGGTTGGCGTTCATAACGAAGCTGGCCGTGACTGTTTCCGCACATATCATGCTTCTGCCATTGTGGTTCCTGGTAAAGTTCCTCCACTTACCAAATAAAGTTCCACTATTTGGAGTTTCCATTTAAAAAAGAAATATATAAATTGTTTATTTAAATTGTTATTTCAGTGTATACATCATTTTCCTTGTACTTCCAAATTATATATTTGAATCTCGATTTTGATAACTATTACAGTAAAAATTATATAAATTAATAATTTTTTAGTCCAGAGTTCAACCAGTTCAACATATTTTGATATTACTTTTTAAAATTATATATAAAACGATATGTAAATTCTAAGATATAAAATTTAGAAAATATATTATTTTTTAATTAGTAATTGTATAATTAATAAAATATCATATTCTTAATATTATTAAATTTATATAATTTTTACTGTAAAAGTTATCAAAATCCAGAGGCAAACCTATATCCACGAGGATATCCACCGATAAAGTTCCACTAACTGTAATAGTTATCAATAATAAATAAACAATTTATAAATTTAATAATATTACAGTATGATGTTTGTTGTATTTTAAACTGGTTGAACTCTGGATTAAAAAATTATTAATGTATCATATTTATTAATTTATTGTCTATTAATTTATGGAGTGTCTATTTAATTTAAGATTTCGTAAAAATCTGGTAAATTTTTAAGTATTGTATATAAGTTAATCTCTAGCGTATTTCTGCATATGAAAATTATAGATTGATTTTTTTGGGGACAAATATCTGATTAAATTAACTGTCAATGGTATAAGAAATTGGTGAACCAAATGTTAACTTTCATTTGCAAAAGCCCTTTTAAAAAAAAAAAAAACTTTCATTTGCAAAAGTGGTTAATAAATGGAGTGAGACTTATAGTTCAAACTGAGACAATGGTTGGGTCATAAATAACACTTCTTTTTGCATGCACATATTTGGTTTTGTGTTGAATATACAGGCCCTGAAGTAGACAAGCTGGCGGAGATAGCTAGGAAATACAAAGTGTACTTGGTGATGGGAGCGATAGAGAAGGATGGGTATACACTCTATTGCACAGCCCTTTTCTTCAGTTCCGAAGGTCGCTTCTTGGGCAAGCATCGTAAAGTCATGCCGACATCTCTCGAACGTTGCATCTGGGGTTATGGGGATGGATCAACCATCCCTGTCTACGATACTCCCCTTGGCAAACTCGGTGCTGCTATTTGCTGGGAAAATAGGATGCCCCTCTTCAGAAATTCCTTGTACGGAAAAGGTAACACTCTTAATATATATGCTCTTTCTAACTTCTAATGTAAGGCTCCCTCAACAGTTTAATTTTGGGCTGCTGCAGGAATTGAATTGTATTGTGCCCCCACCGCTGACGGTTCGAAGGAATGGCAATCGTCGATGATGCACATTGCTATGGAGGGTGGATGTTTCGTGATGTCAACTTGCCAGTTCTGCCTGCGTAAAGATTTCCCTGACCATCCCGATTACGTGTTTACCGACTGGTATGACGATCAACACCAAGAGGCTATTGTCTCCCAGGGCGGTGGTGTCATTATTTCACCATTGGGAAAGATTCTCGCCGGACCAAACTTTGAATCCGAGGGTCTCATCACCGCTGATCTTGGTATTTGATGTTCATTTTAGTTAGGCTTCAGTAAAGAAAATTATGAACCTTTTTACCTTATCATTGCGATAACACTCTTTTTTCTTTGTCTCATCTAGATCTTGGTGATATCGCAAGAGCCAAGTTATACTTCGATGTGGTTGGACATTACTCAAGGCCAGATATATTTAACTTGACAGTTAATGAGAACCAAAGGAAACCGGTTACATTCGTGTCCAAGTCGGTGAACGCGGAGGATGAATCAGAGCCTCAAGACACGTAATCAAAGATATAAAGGTCCTCTCTCATCTCCACAACTACTGGAGTTAATGTCAGTTATATGTTATCAAATAAATCTGTTTCAGACACTATGTTAAGTTTGTTTATACTTATGTTCAATAATTGAAGAGACACGGATGGAAATGGTTTGATCTATGGTGTCTGATAAAACCATTCGGTTCTCTTCTCTGATATCTGAATATTATGAAATTTATTTGTTGTTGAAAAATGTTTTATATCTAATGTAATATCAAATCTAGAATTTTATGCAGCGGCTACTGGATTTATGTTAGTCATATGTTGTTGTCAGCTCAAGTAAATCTGTTTGACAAACTATGTTAAGTTCGTTTATACTTATGAAGAGCGAGGATGACCCAGTGGGTTTGAGGGAGATTCTGCCTTAATATGAATCCGGATTCAAATTTTGTTGGCTACTATGAAAAAATTTAATATTTGGGTTTTCTAAACATCTGGTGCCAAGGTGTACTCTGACCATAACGTAGATTGCTACGGACACTTGTTGTTATTTTGGATTCACTTCAATAGAGATCAAGATACACCGAATTATTAAAAACAAAGGTTTATCCTTATGTTCGATAATTTAAGAGAGCCCGTTGGAAATGGCTAGATCTGTGGTTTCTGATAAAATCATAAAACTAACCAGTTCCCTTTTCTCGTAGGTGAATATGATATAACTTTATTTTAGGTTGAGATTATTATGAGACTAGGTGTTTTGCCCGCATTTACGGGCCTAAATATTTTATAATTATTTTATTACTACATCTTTAACTATTTTAAAGATTATAATGATAAGGTATTAATTGTGTTTAAACCAATAGTATTTATAATTTCATTTAACAATTCTTACATATATTTCTTTGTATTTTATGTTCACTATTAAAAATACTTTTAAAATCAAATAATATTTTTTCAATTATATAAAATTAATAAGTTGATTTGATTAATATTTAGTTATGTATTTTCTATTGTTTTAATTGTTAACTTTTTATCAAAATATATTTTCAGATAACATCACAATATATATATCGAAATTATCTTATTTATAAAGATATTATTTAGATTTTGGATAATCCTTATGATTATTATTAATTTTAGTTATTTATCTACTCCAAATAATTTAAATTCGTTTTTATTGTGTATGTAATTTATATATTATTTTCATTAAGGGTATAAACGATATTAACCACTTTAATTTTTGACGTGAGAGCTCCGTTGTGAAAAATCACTTCGCAAATAATAGTATAGATAAGACTATAGGAGTAAATCGTGATAATGATTATCCATTATAAAAGTCCTATATATTATTTGAAAGATCATTTAGAATAATACAAAATTAAAGGTTATATTATTTTAAATAATTTTTAATAAAAAATGAAAGGTTGCATTATTTTAAATGATCTTTTTTATAGCAAAAAAAATCATCCAAAATAATGTGACCTTTAATATTGTATTATATACATTTTTATCTTGTTGAAATATCAACTCTTTAAATATCTACTATGCTTACGTAGCAACACTTCAATTAGCTTGAAGAAAAGTTATATATTGTCTAGGATAAATTATGGGTTAATTTGCGAAATAGCCAAGAGTTGGAAGTGTAATTAGGAATTTGACTATGATTTTGACGTAATTGAATTAGTGACATTTAACCCTCATATGATTCGTTTCTACCCTTTATTGCAACAAGTTACCAATGAAATAAAAGAAAAAAAATTACGTAACTGATTTATATGGTCCAAGATAAAAGTGAATTAGTGATAACTTATGAAAGAGAAGAGAACCACGTCACTTTAATATTTATCACATACATAATTATTGTGTGGACTAAATACAACTCCTTCCAATATATCTTGTATTCCATTTACCAACCTCAGTCACTTTATTCTATTTCACCAAAATATATTATGACAACAACCTCATTCCTACTCTAAATAATAAAGATCATCTTAACATATTTCTAAACCCTACTAAATCATCACTAACCCTTACACAAAAATATAAACCATAATCCAGTGGCAACCCAATCATCCATAAACTAAACACTAGACACGGATCACTAAACCCTACATGAAAATATAAACCTTGATCCAATGGCAACCCTAATTTTTCATATACTAAACTCAAATTTCGAAATGCAACTAACATGCATTTCCATTCTACATGAGCATATAGAATAGAAAAAAGGTGAAACACCTAATGTAAAAAGTAGTATATGATAGGACGCAAACTACACCTAATGTAAGAAGTTAATGTTGACCTCAATCATACCTCTTTCCTTCTAAAAATTAAATCCTAAACTCTACTCACTAAATCCTTACCAAATACAAACTGTAAACCCAAATATAATGGAACAAAATAAATAAATATAATACATATTTGTGAAATTATGAAATATCTATAATTGGAAGAAGTTATTGCTAACCCTAACTATACCCCCTAACCTTCTAGACATTAAACCCTAAACTTTAATCACTAAAACCTAATCCAAATATAAACCCTATATCAAGTTATCAAAATCTTAAAACTACATTATATTATATAATATTAAATTAGATTATATAGTACTAAACTATACAATATAGATTAGGGTATGATTTTAACAGGTTCAAAAACATGTAACAATAGTAAGAACTTAAGAGAATTAAAAAATTGTATATTTCTAAACAAAATAGAGTACCTTTTAATAACCGTCAAATGGAACGGAACATGAGAAAATATAATAGTAACAAAATATATTGCATAACAAAATATGAAAATACATTTTGTTTTACATTTCTATTCTATGTGCATATAATAGAATAAAACACAATAACAAACACTATTCATCTTCTCCGATCAACCTTGGGTCATTCACGGCGAGAAAAGATAAGTGTATCTGACGACATCAGTGGAGATAGTACATGTACCCGTATCGGAGAATTTTGTTGTTGCTGTCGTTGATTCAGTAGATGGAGGTAATCGCCTCTGCACACAAGTCTTGTCGCTCGCCACACTAGTCTTCAAAACTCTACTATTAACCATAATCTTTCACTATCAACGAAAACAACAATCCCACAAATCACAGAACAACATCTATTAGATTATGATTATCAATTATGTGGGGATCATAACACATATTAGCTTTAAATTGAAAACCACTTCCCTAACATACACTATACTATACTATGTGGATAGACATATGTACTATTCCATTTATATATAACATAATCGCCCACCACAACAGAATTTACATACTATAAAAATAGACATATATAATACTTTATTTACCTATACATAGTATACTTTATTTACAAATTCACACAAATAAAGCAATAGAGGTTCACATAGTTATTTTCATCCAAGTCTATTTCATGTAAATACGCAGTCAACTATACAGCCTTACAAATGGAATATAAGCACCATTTTTTTATAAACATAAAACCTCAAAATTTTGATTACTTTATTTTATAATATCAAATTCCGACATATAACCATAGATGAATGAAAATTGAAAGAACTTAAGAGTAGCAAAGCAACTTACATAATAGAGAATGTGACTTTTTTTAACTGTCGTTATGATGCCGTTTTACTCTCTTCTCTCACCTACCAAACCTTCAAAAATGGTTTTCTCCTCCATAAAATTTCTCCAAAAATATTATCGGTGGCATCTGAATCGCTGCCCAAATCTGGAGATGAATCTATTAACCTTTCTATATTTTACCAATATACTTTGTCAGATATGTGTGGGTATTGAAAGCCACGTTTTCTTTACAGTCACTAACTATTAATTAAAATTATTTTTTCTCTACAAATTTTACCGGTTGGAAAGAAGGGTAGTTTGACAATATTATATAAAAGAAAAATGGTGTAGTGGTGTATTAGGGAAATTTGCTATTTTGTGAATTAAGTTTTCTTTTAAGGCTATACAGCCCAATTTTCCATAAATTATTGTACCCACATATACTGTTCATTTGGCACACATTTATTTTTGTTCAAATATCAATCTACCCTGTAAAACGCAACCCACATTCGTCATCTTCTTTCCAACTAGAATTACCCTCTCTCCAACCTAAGTTTTTTCCTTAAGTCAATATTAGAGCAGCAGAGCTCAACCCACAAATCCGCATGGATATTAGTTTTTATGTTTTCATACATTAGTATTTCGTTTTCATAATTAATGGTATATTATAGACATGTTGCCATATAACTATAATGTCTTAGAAAAACCCGGACCAAATCATGTAATATTTTTTTTTTTTAAATATCTGAACATGTTTCAGTTACATTGATTCTTTGGATATTGTAGGTTTCTATGCATCAGAAACGAACTCATCACACATAAATTTATAATATTCAAGTGGAGCCTAATTAAAAAAAAAATATGATACTCGAAAGGAACAACCCGTATATGAATGGGTATCCAATGTTCATTCCTAACTGATTATGTTCAGGGTTGGCTCAACATTTATTTGGGCCTTTAGACAAATTATTTGTTTTACTTTTAATAGTTATATTTATTAAAAGATTAGCTATATTAAATATATTTTATCATCAATATCTTTATAAAATTTGTAATGAAATAAATTATGTACATGTAAAATATTTTAGGGTCTATTTTCAACTAAATTTTGTAAATATTTATTTTTTTTATACAAAAATATGTATGTAAGAAAAACATTGGGCCCCTTAATTAGTAAAATAGGGGGAGGAGGGGCGAACACTGATTTGGACCCGGGGCGGTTGCACCGTTTGCCCCCCCCCCCATGTAAGCCGATCCTGATTCTGCTAACTAATAAAAAGGATTCCTTCTATGTGTTTTTCTAAATTAAGTGAAATAGAAAGAATTTTTATTAGTAAAATAGTTATATGAAATGAACACTCAAGTGCAATAAATGTAATATATTTTTATTATTTGATTTATGTTATTATTTTATTCACATAAAAATGTGTTTGAATTATGTGTTTAATTACGTTTAAACGAGAGGAATCCGATTCAGACCATAGGTTCTCTCTTTTGGCCAGTTTGGTCAATATTGCATGTCCCGATGACCGTGTTGATGGGCTGACCTCTGTGTTCTAGCTAGTGTTGGACTTCTCTCATTTGGCTTTCACTAAGGCACATACCATCAAGCTTCTCAAAGACTTAACCCGCATCAGTGCACAACTCGAAGAACAATCAGACTGTCCCGATCGTCCCGCGTACGTGCTGGTCCTTACCGCCCAAGACCACATTGGAACCAAAGGGTCACTTTTACCAGTCCGAGTAGTCGAAGGGACTTCTTTAACTAATCTCAGCACCGGGGAGTCACTTGGACCAGAACAAGAACTGAAGAGTCTTTGACTCTTTCTTTATTATTTTCTAGTCAATCTTTGTATTTCTTAGGTGTGTTTTTCAACAATTCTTTTAAGTCTCTCTTTGACTCCTTCTACTATAAATATGTAAGTACTTCTATAGAATAAGTAATTGATTTTTCCCCTTTTATTTATAGGTTTATCTATTTTTTCTTGGCAGAA